AGAAGTGCCTCTGAAGTGGAGGATTGGGTTGTGCAGATAAACTTCGCCTGTGCGCGGTTCTCGTCCCGAGCCCTTCCGCCACCCGCGTGTTCGGGAGGTGCATTCTCAAGAACCCGGTTGCCAAAGCTGCCAAGTTCGGCACCATTGGCACAACAGCTGAAGGTGAGATTGTTCTGCCTTGGAATTCACCATGCAAAGTGTGCGTTTAGGCTCACGAATCAGCCGCCTGTGAACTTCGGGAACAGTTGTCGCTAGTTCGGGCGGAAGCTCCGCCACTCAAGGCTAAAGGTCGACCTGTAGAAGAGTTCTTCTTCAAAGAGCGTTATTTAACACAGGAGGTGCGTTTCTACTAGCTGCTAATCAATATATCGATTTTTCGCCGGTTTTTTCAGTTCAAATATTTCTCTTATAAACAATCAATATATCGATTTTTCGACTCCAATTTCAGATCCTCCGCTATGACACCTACTGCCGTTTGCTACGATCCCGTCTACCTGGTGGTGGTTGTGAACTTGGCGGGGCACCTTCTGATTCCACCTCTGGAGTACATTCCAAATCCGATATCGCTGATGATTTGGACAAGATGAGCTATCGTGAAGCACTAAATCATCATTGATTTTTGATTAGTTGGCACTGTGCCAAAAATTCCGTTGATTTTTTATGAAGTTGGTATTAGTTAGATCTTAGGGGCAAGTTTCTGTGTTTTTTCTGAAACTCTTTCTCTTTTCGTAGGGTCCTTCAAGCACCCTAGTAAAAATGAGAAGAAGGCTATTGTGTTGATATTGATGTTGAATTTTTGCTTTTGTTTTTTTCCTGGCCTTCGACTCAATTTTTCCTGCCAAATTTGCTGTCTGCCTATCTGAATGTGATGCTTTCCCATATATCCCATCCAAGCGATTTTTTGCTGCACGCGGAAACGCGCAGCGTAACGGAAGCGCAGCGCAACGCCACTGCTCGAGAAATCGATAATCCCAACGATTTCATTCGCCTTCTACGGTGACGATTCTCTTGCGTGGAGAATTATCGCTGCGGTGCTTGAAAGCGAGCGAACGGGTTCTCCACGACAAAATCGATATATTGATCAATCCATCGATTTTTACCAAAATTTATCGCTAACGCCTTATCAAGTCTGTCACATTCATCATTTTCCTTTCTATTATTTTATCCTTCTGTATTATTTTTCTTACTCGTGAACATCATACCAAATCGTATTTTGTATGCTTATGCTTATTTTCAAATTTCTTTGATCTATTTATGGTTAGGCATAATCCACGAAGATGATTTACTGCTTTTGTAACTTCGGGATTATTTTCTCTTTTTTCACCCTCTGGCTCTACCCTTTTTTGGTCAGATAACCAATTACATGTATAATACCAGGTGTGTTTTATTTTTATGTGCACGTGATCGACGAAATGTCTTGCTGGTTTTTGCAGAATTTCTTTTTTGATTATGATAAATGCTCAATTATTATTTGTGTCGTTTACATGGAAAGACCGGGAATATGGACCTGTTGAAAAATAACAAAAGCTGCAAAATATAGGAGAAAGGGGTCCTGCCGTTTTTATGTTGATTGGAAGGTGACTTTGTTTCGAAATAAAGTTCAATGATTATACCCGTGTCTGGGATAGAGTTACTGATTGCGACTACTGGTCCTCAAACGGCACGCAACAGCATGCTTGAAAGGACCGTTTGTCTGCAGAGGTGGTAGGCGGCAATCCGTTGAACCAACTGAAATTTTCCATCACTTCCTGATGGTGGGTCCTGACGCGAAAGAATGCGATTAGGAGTTTGTAGATACGGTTTGGGCTTCGGTTGGAAGATTGGACGGCAGTGACCGTTTCAGGTGCCGCTTGGGCAGTGCCATAAATAAATTAGAGCCCTATACTCTTCAAATATGTGAAACAACCTTTTAATCAAATGCCTCATATACATCTAAGGAGCACCACAAGAAAAAA